AAAAAACACCCCTCATGACTGCTACCCTCTTCACCGCTATGACTTCATCGCGCTCCAAGAAACCTATATCTCCTCTGAAGATATGCTCGCCATGATTGCCCTGAACTGGTCCAAGACCGATGCCAACGGTTCAAGCTTTTGGTCCAATTCAAGCTGCAACATTTACAGCAAGCGCCACGGTTGTGTCGCTAGCTCTTGCCCCATTCAAGCTTTAGAAGATGACACTCCTGTCGACTTGCCTGCGAATACCCAAAATCGCTATCTAGTGGTTAAGGGTCGTTTTGCTGCATCAAGTCTACATCCACGTTGTTTACGCGTTTACGGGTGAAGACAGAAGAAAAGCCGACTTTTTCAACCCCCCGTCGACTTTGCATATTCTGCCCGCTACATCATCTGTAGCGACATCAATCTTATCCTTGACCCCTGCTTGGACAAAGTTATTGCTTCCCACCGAAGATGTCAAGGACTTGAAGAATTGGAGCGTTGGATGGCATTTAGAATATTATTTTATACGCTATTATAAAAATAAATAGGCAACGTTGGGTGTCGTGGACTCTTGAAGGCTAGCTCACCCCCACCGTCGAGTTTACTTCAACCAAACGCATTCAAATCGCATCGACTACGTTTTCTTTCGGGTGTCTTTCATCAAGACTATCTCCAGCGATCCGATATCAAGTGGACAAGTATCAAGCGTATTTCCACAACGATCATGCGCCGATTGCTTCTTCCTTTGCTGCAAATTCCTTCCAACACAAGAAAAAAGCACCTTGGCGCTGCCCGCCCTGAATGTTGACCCTGTCTAAAGTCCTTCAGCATCTTTCATTCAAGCTGAAGTGCAACATGGCCAGCCTGCTGCCCAAGGAAGACCCGAACCACAATCCCACCAAGGTCCTGGATGATCACTTGTTTCACGACAAGAAATATCTCCAGTCAATCGCGTCCCAGCACAAAGCTGACCTCCGGGATTGCGATCAACGCCGCGGTCGCATCGCTGATCTTTCAACTGCACTTGAAGCTACCCCAAGTGAAGCCCTTGTTGTTGAACTTACCAAAGCCAGGTAAGATCTTCAAGACACACTACGAAGATTAAAGAACGGAATGACATCGACTTATTCCGCGAACAAATCGACTCTCAAGAAAAATCCTCGCGCATTTTCCTTCGACTCCCAGTCAGCCAGCAGCGTGCCAACAAATTTCTCGTCAAGGATGCTCTAGACTGGAATATTCATACAGCGCAATGCCGACGCTACTTGGGCAAAAATTTTCACTCCCCTTCCGACGGTGCTGAAGCCCCAGCTCAATACTTCAATCTTACGCTGCACAGCAAAATCCTGCAGCATTTAACTGCCCGCCTTACAGAAGAAGAACAGAAGACTTCGCTTAAATCCCCCTTTCCGCTGAAGAATTTTCAAGTGCTATCCGCTCAGGCCCCAAGAATAAAGCGCCAGGGCTCGACGGACTGCCATATGAATACTTCCCAGTCAACTCCGACATGTGGGGTACTTTCTTTGCTCAAGTCCACGATTTCACCTTTTCAAGGAAGCGAGTAACTGACCTGCAGCGCAAAGCCTCCCTCTCGTTGCTTGTCAAGGGGGGATGCAAGGATTGCACTCGAATTATCGGTCATTGACCTTGCTCAAAGTCACCGCTAAATTCACGCCTGCAATCCTTGCCAAGCGCACCAATTTGGTCTTACCCAACTTGCCGGGGTCTGATCAATATGGTTTCACGCCCGGCCGCTCCATTCATCATGCCCTGACAAGATTTCACCACCTACAGCTGTGGTGCAAGGCCAACCACCTCACCGCCGCGGGTGCCAGCATGTGTGACTTTGTCAAGGACTTTGACTCAGCATCAAGACAAGTTCTCCTTCGGACGCTCGAACACTTCGGCTTTGGGCCAAACTACCGCGCCTGGGTGGAAACTCTCTTTGCTGACACTGAAGTCTCCATTTTATTGAACTCCTCCCCCCTGGATCCCTTTGTGCTGGACAGCGGCGTTTGCCAAGGTGACCCGATCTCGCCAGCACTTTTTGTGCTTTCTATTGAACCTTTACTGGTTTATTTGCGAGTCAAGCTCTCCCACCTGGGC